ATATATATATACATATATAAAGGGCATAATCTGCTGTACCTAGCCTGGACTGACAGAGGCCGTGTATATATTGTACATAGAAGTACGGAATAAGTGTGTATTTGTAAATGTATGTAAATACAGACAATGGACTTAATACAGACTGACTAACAAATGACAGACCCGACCTCTCGTCAGAGAGGGCGCTACACATAGACAAGACAGTAACTTTCATTCAAAAGAAATATGGGGCTCGACACCAAGACAGACAGACTGACCGATCGTCAGTTGTAACATGACCTTGACCTTGACCTTGACCTTGGCCCATCTCGAGGTAATGCACATAATACTAGCGTACTGATTATTGTTCTTGGAGGAATTGTGTAAGTTGAAAATGTATATATAGGTTTTGTCTGTATTGTGTGTGCAGGCGATTTCAGAGATGGTATTATGCTAGCGTGAAGTTTGTTATTAAGTATGCCTTATTAGTCGCTTGTGGCGGAGACAGCCTGTGCGAGTTGTGATAGGATATCTTGTGGCTGATTATGCCGATTAATTGTCGCGTTTTCTTTTGGCACAAATTACTGGTCATATATTAAATGTTATTTGATTTTCTTGTTTACTTCTTGTTTTTTTCCTTTTGAATAATAGACAAGAGAACACCCGTTCCCCAGCTGGTGGGGTGGGGGCTCAAAACAGTGTGAAGGATGTGAAGACGCTGCCCGGGGCAGATATTGACTCTGACCACAACTTACTGGTTGCCAAGTTTGAAAGCAGGTTGAAGAAAATTATAAGATTCCAAAAGCACAGACCTAGATGGGATATGGAGAAGTTTTATGCTCAAAGACAAAGCGTGCAGAGACCGTAAAAGAGTAACTCAGTACAATTGATAGTGAAAGCGGAAATGCTGAAGTGTAGTAGAACAATATAAAAGAATGCATGTTAGCTACTATTATCGAATTGGTTGGTAAAGTTGAGAAGATAGCAAGAAAACCATGGATTACACAGGAGATGATAAGTAAAATGGAAGAATATAAACAATGATGAAGGCAGGAGGAAATACAGGAGACTGAGGAATGAACTGAAAAGAGCCACGGACAGGGCCAAAAAGGAATATCTTGAGAAGATATATAATGAGATTATAGTATTTCAAAGGACAGGACGTTACGATTTGATGTACATGAAGACAAAAGAACTAGGATGCAAAGAGAACCATGGGATTCAAAATATTGGCTTCGAGGACTCCCAGGGGAATAGAATAGTAGATCAGAGTTAAGTACTGAAAATTTGGGAAAATTATGTTACAGAACTATATGATCGACCTAATCGGCCAGAAACCTTGGAAGTGGAACCGGAAGAAGTAGATACAGACGAGAAAGACCATATATTTTACAAAGTGAGGTGGAAAAAGCTATCAAGGACTTGAGGAATGGAAAGGCTACAGGAGATGATGTGCCTGGAGATGTGCTTAAGTTACTGGGAGAAGGTGGTTTGAAAACACTGACAAAACTAATAAACACCATATATGCAAGTGGAGAGTGGCCCAAGGACTGTACAGAAGTGACAATGATAGCCTTAAAGAAAAAGACAAAAGCTACAAAATGCAGCGACCATTGCACAATAAGCCTTATTGCACATACAGCAGAGATAATAGCAAAAATACTTAAAAGAAGAATTGAAAGGAAAATAGAGGATATACTCGGAGAGGATCAGTTTGGATTTAGAAGAGGAAAAGGAACCAGGGATGCAATTGGGATGATGAGAATTGTAGCAGAACGAAATTTGGAGAAAGATTAAGAACTGTGTGCTTGCTTTATAGACTGGCAGAAGGCAAAATTCATGCAGATCCTAAAGGAAACAGGTACTGATTGGCGGGAAAGAAGATTGATTAATAAATTATACATGGATCAGAAAGTTAGAGTGCAACTGGACAGAGGGGAGACAAGAAGTGTGAGGATTGGAAGAGGAGTTCGAAAATGATGCTGTTTTTCACAAATTTTGTTCAACTTGCACAGCGAACGCCTTACTAAAGAAGCTCAGGATGGGCTTGGAGACTTCAAATTAGGAGGGTAAATTATTCAAACTGTGAAATATGCAGATGACCTTGTGTTAATGGTTAAGGAAGAAACTGTGCTACAGGGTATGATTGATAGACTAATCGAAAATTGAAGAAGCTATGGGATTGAAGTGAACATGGAAAAAATCAAAAGTAATGAAAATTTCGAGACAACCAACCCCAGTCACAATAAAGATAGACCAAAAACAACTGGAGAATGTGAAATGTTTTAAATATTTGGGTAGCTTGTTAACAGATGATGGATGGTGTACTTGTGAAATTAAATGTAGCATTGCTATGGCAAAAGCTGTATTTAGCAAGAAAAATCTTTTTACCAGGAAATTGGACTTAAATTTGAGAAACTAGTGAAATGCTACATTTCGAGCATGGCTTTGTATGGGGCGCGAACTTGGACACTTAGGGCAGTAGATCAGACACACCTGGAAAGCTTCGAAATGTGGTGTTGGAAAAGGATTCAGTAGATCAGTTGGACCGATTATGTGAGAAATGAGGAAGTGTTAATTAGAGTCAGTGAGCAGAGGAATATCCTACACGAAATAAGAAAACGGAAGGCTAATTGGTTGGTCATGTTACGCAGTAACTGCCATCTAAAAGAAATTATTGAAGATAGAGGGGCGGATAGCAGTGACCAGAAGACGTAAGATGCTGGATGACCATGGTGACAGAAGAGGATGTTTTCATTTTAAGGAGAAAGCTCTAGATCGTATTTAGTGGAGGAACTGTTTTGGAAGACTGTGGACCTGTCGTCTTGACAGATTACTGATGAATATGTACAGGGACATTTGTCAGTGTAGGAATCAAGTGAATAAACTGCCGTGGTGAATACTCGAAATAGGGTATAATTAACTGTACTGAGTCTAGACAGAGGCCTGGTGTATATTGCATATACTAGATATTAAAATTCAAATGTAAACAAGTGTACAGTGATGCTATCAACTATGACTGACAAATGACATACCCGACCTCTCGTCAGAGGGCGCCGCACATGGACAAGATTGTAACTTTACCTACACAGTAATGTCAGTCGGGACATGACTTTCAAACCATCCTTCGGAACAATTGGTGGTCCTGAAAAGGACCGTTTATGCTGCGCACAAAGTTATGCGCTCATATCACACATCTAACCTCCGAAGCCATACAAAGTACGCCCCTGCCTCTTCAGAGCATAAACCACATCCATTGCAGTCACGGTCTTCCGTTTTGCATGCTCGGTGTAAGTTACAGCATCACGAATAACATTCTCCAGAAATACTTTCAACACACCACGAGTCTCCTCATAAATGAGCCCAGATATACGTTTCACACCACCGCGACGAGCCAAACGCCTAATGGCGGGCTTCGTAATTCCTTGAATGTTATCTCGCAAAACTTTCCTGTGCCTCTTCGCCCCACCTTTACCCAAACCTTTTCCGCCTTTACCACGACCAGTCATACTCGTAAACGTCTAATGCAACTCACCTGACAAATACTTCGGCAGGTCCCGAACCCCGATTCTTATAGTCTGTCGTCCATTCCAATTGCCCAATCGGATTTCAGCTTCTCAGTGGGTCGGAGAAAACTTGTGCATATAGTCTGTCGTAAATTCCAATTGGCTGTGCTCTGCTCTTGCCCAATAGGATTTGCGCTCCTCAGTGGGGCGGAGCAAACTTGAGGAGGCAATGCCAATAAAAGTCGGCAAAATTGGTGTTGCGCTTAGAGTGTAAGTTCTGCAGTCTAGTTGTGAGGTAGATTTATTGTGTTAGTATGGCTCGTACGAAGCAGACGGCGCGTAAGTCTACTGGAGGGAAAGCGCCAAGAAAGCAGTTGGCTACTAAAGCGGCGCGAAAGAGTGCTCCTGCTACTGGTGGTGTGAAGAAACCTCATCGTTATCGCCCTGGTACAGTTGCGTTACGGGAGATCCGCCGGTATCAGAAAAGTACTGAACTGCTCATACGTAAACTGCCTTTTCAACGCCTTGTTCGCGAAATTGCCCAAGATTTCAAGACTGATTTGCGATTCCAGAGTTCTGCAGTGATGGCATTGCAAGAAGCAAGTGAGGCTTACTTAGTGGGTCTTTTTGAAGACACCAACCTTTGCGCAATCCATGCGAAGCGCGTTACCATCATGCCTAAGGACATTCAGCTTGCTAGGCGCATCAGAGGAGAACGGGCATAAATTCTGGGAAGTATTAATAAAAGGCCCTTTTCAGGGCCGCAACTTCTGACGAGGAGTGATTATCATTTTTGCCTAGTCCAAAGTCATTAGAACAGACCGCCAGTTAGTCTGGGGCTCAACCGCTTTTTATTGATAATTCGTTTGGAGCACCGTCTGAGAGGTTCATTTGTTAGTGCCGATAAAGTATTCTCACTAGCTAACCTTTGGGAGTAAAGCGCCCGGGTTGTGGAGCTGACGAATCACCATCTAGGGCCGAGGTCAACACGATTTCTACATCCACTCCGCTTACGTCTTCATGTAGTAGATAACCACAGGGACAACTTTGCATTTTCTACCCCTCCTAGAGTTTTGTAATATCCCATAACCTCTTTATCAGTTTCATACGCCTTACATCCGACTGTGGGGTAAGGTTTCTTATATTTTAACTGACAAACTGGGCTTCAAAGCGATTTTCATGAGTCAAACTCCAAGGCACAAGAAATATTCCGGCAGGAAGAGGCCAGCCAGTATAGCAGCAATCAGTATACGTGTTCGGAGCTCGGTACAAAATGACCTGGTTCTGCAGGTCCAGGCACAACACCCGGTTTACAGTTAATGCAAGGCACTGAAATCTGGAGCCGGGATATACGACCGTTCAAGTGACTAGACTGCCGTGGTAGCTAATAATACCTAGCCTGGACTAACAGAGGTCTTGTATATGTATATAGTACATTGAAGTAAGGAATAAGTGTGTATATGTAAATACAGACTGACAAATGACACCCGACCTCTCGTCAGAGAGGGAGCTCCACATAGACAAGATAGTAACATTCATTCAAAAGAAATATCTGGGGCTCGACACCAAGACAGACTAACCGTCAGTTGCAACAAGACTGACTGACTGGAGCCGGGATAGCTCAGTATAGTAACTCGTAACGGACTGGAGGACCGGTGTTCGTTTCCTGACACAGGAATGGAACACTTCCTCTTTGCCATAGCATCCAAATCGGCCCTCGACACACAACAGCCTTCTATATAAGGCGCATTGGAGGATATTGGTGTGAACGCCAGAAGGAAGTACACAACTAGGCAGACCAAGAAGAAGGTGGGTGAATAATAGTAAAATGTATCTTAGAGACATAGGATGGGTTGGAATGGACTGGATTGACCTGGCTCAGGATAGGGACCAGTGGAGGGCTCTCGTGAACATAGTAATGAACCTCTTCGGGTGACATAAAATGTTGGGAACTTCTTGAGTAGCTGCACACAACTTGCGGCTTTTCATGAAAGAGTCAGCTCCCTATAGTTTAGTCATAATAGTGTTTCTTCGGGGATACGAATTTAATTTGATTATCCCAACCGCAAATGTCGCTAATTAATTTGGATAACCGGCGTTCAACTGTGCCTTTTTTTTTCAGAAACTTATGTTTCAATTTAAATAACATTAACTGGCTCAGATTGTCATTATTTATTTTATTCTCGTTACTATTTGTTTAATGTTCAAGCTGACTCTGTGACAAGTCATTAGCAGCGTGTCAGTAGTGCTCTTATGGCGCTGATAATGTGTGTAGCACTGTGACCTAATCTCACTTTTCGAGTTACGGTTCTGTAATTGACTGATATGTGCATTGTCCTTGGACTGGGGCTTGTTTCCTGCGTAACAGTGCGAGGTCTCCCCTTTTTAACAATGGGGACAACAAGTGGGTCAAATTAACGTACGTTTAAACACTGACTTCACAGAGTGCTTACGGCACATAGATTCTTCTTACGCTGAAGTTTTGAGGCCAAGCATAATCGTCCCCTATTCCATCTGTTCTGCAGCTCTGAAGGGAAAGTTCTCGATGGGTTTAATTTATTAGGCAGCACGCCTGGATCTTAAAGATATAGGATGTGGCGATATGGATTGGATTGATCTGGCTCAGGTTTGGGAACAGTGGATTATCATAAGCTGACGAGTTGGGTCATTTTGTGATTTGTGTCGAACACTCTTTTCTACAGTTGACCTTGATGCCTTATATGTTTTTGTAGTGCAAACTCTTGGTAAACACTGATTTGGTTGCTAGTCCAACCAGAATATCTTTGTTTCTCCTGCAGTCTTTCCATCTGTTATTTATTTTGTCTGATGAATTTTTCAAACAAGGGAATTCATGATAAATGTAGTTTTTAAATACTGAGGTATGCAGCACAAGTCAGGAACCGGCAAAATTGGTTCGATGCAAGAAATCAGTAATTTAACAGTAATCTCGAGTTTCCTGAAAAAAAAAACACGTCATATATAAAAAGAACTTACACATAAGTTCAGCCAATTGCTCGTGTCTGCCCGTGTGTTCACACTGTATGCACTTGATGATGCCCACAGCAATCGGCATTTATTAGGTACTTAAAAATGATTAGGATATGTATAAAGGATATTCAAATTGGTTTCTTATATGTGTAATATATGAACAAGTTTTAGAATTTTTCATAAATTCCCATTAATATTGGATATCTTAGAACATTTTCGAGAATTTTAAAACATATTCGAGGATTTCCGAGTTTTTCATAAATTTGCTATAATTTTCGATAATGTTGGGAAATTTTCGGAAATTCTGGACAATTTTAGGATGTTTTTCACGGAATTTTCGGAAAACTTCCGGAGAGATTCCGGAAAATTTTCGGGGAATTTCCGAAAGTTTTCCGAAAATTCTCCGAAAGTTTTCCGGAATTTCTCCGAAAGTTTTTCAATATTTCTCCGAAAATTCGTGAAAATTACAATCAATTTCAGTCAATTACAATGAAAATACAAACAAATTCGATGGAATTCAATCAAATACGATCGAATTTATTAAAAAATATCCCAAAACAAAGAAATTCGATGAAATTCAATCGAATAGATCGAATTTATTAAAAAATATCCCCAAACAGTCATATTCGATCATGCACAATAGAATAATCAAATACGTTGGCAGCAGTTAAGTACGCATGGCAACACGGCGGCAATGTTGCCCGCGCCGTTTCGAAGTGTGATGTATGGCTGTGGTCAATTTCTGCCGCCCAATCATGGAATCGTGCACAGGGAATGGCGTACAAGCATTATGAATAAAAACCGTGTGCATATTCAGAGTATTTGATACTTTTTTTCGAGACAGTCGTTTTAAACGAATGCGGCAGGTATTATATATATTTTTGTAAGAAGTTGGCTGGAACTCGCGTGTATGAGATCACCCAAGCATGTGAAGAAGTGTTATCGCATGCTGTATTGTCTTGCATGGCTTTTTTCATAAGTTTATGNAAAAAAAAAACACGTCATATATAAAAAGAACTTACACATAAGTTCAGCCAATTGCTCGTGTCTGCCCGTGTGTTCACACTGTATGCACTTGATGATGCCCACAGCAATCGGCATTTATTAGGTACTTAAAAATGATTAGGATATGTATAAAGGATATTCAAATTGGTTTCTTATATGTGTAATATATGAACAAGTTTTAGAATTTTTCATAAATTCCCATTAATATTGGATATCTTAGAACATTTTCGAGAATTTTAAAACATATTCGAGGATTTCCGAGTTTTTCATAAATTTGCTATAATTTTCGATAATGTTGGGAAATTTTCGGAAATTCTGGACAATTTTAGGATGTTTTTCACGGAATTTTCGGAAAACTTCCGGAGAGATTCCGGAAAATTTTCGGGGAATTTCCGAAAGTTTTCCGAAAATTCTCCGAAAGTTTTCCGGAATTTCTCCGAAAGTTTTTCAATATTTCTCCGAAAATTCGTGAAAATTACAATCAATTTCAGTCAATTACAATGAAAATACAAACAAATTCGATGGAATTCAATCAAATACGATCGAATTTATTAAAAAATATCCCAAAACAAAGAAATTCGATGAAATTCAATCGAATAGATCGAATTTATTAAAAAATATCCCCAAACAGTCATATTCGATCATGCACAATAGAATAATCAAATACGTTGGCAGCAGTTAANGAATAATCAAATACGTTGGCAGCAGTTAAGTACGCATGGCAACACGGCGGCAATGTTGCCCGCGCCGTTTCGAAGTGTGATGTATGGCTGTGGTCAATTTCTGCCGCCCAATCATGGAATCGTGCACAGGGAATGGCGTACAAGCATTATGAATAAAAACCGTGTGCATATTCAGAGTATTTGATACTTTTTTTCGAGACAGTCGTTTTAAACGAATGCGGCAGGTATTATATATATTTTTGTAAGAAGTTGGCTGGAACTCGCGTGTATGAGATCACCCAAGCATGTGAAGAAGTGTTATCGCATGCTGTATTGTCTTGCATGGCTTTTTTCATAAGTTTATGGTAATTTACGG